GACGTTTGAGTGAATTAAACATGTTAAATTGCTTTCATGAGCTTTTTCTCTCACTGCCCTGAGTTTAAGATAAGGGTTTAGCTATCTTGGAATTAAGAACATTTCCAATAACTTTATTTTGAAGAATCTAATTTCTTCTTAACTTTTTACTTAAGGAGAAACAAAAGAAATGGCGCAAGAACATTTCCAATAACCATTTTTGAGGAATAGCAACTTTGCTTAAGAAGAAAGTTAAGTCTATAGTTAAGGGGAAAATGGCAGTTAAGAAGATATTTCTTAAGGTTTTGTGAATCTGGGCCCTGCTCCTCAAGATCTTGATTGGCTGATTCAGGTGTGTTTGTGTAACAGTGTTGTCTTCTGTCCCTCTCGCCCCAACCTGGGCTTGAACCAGGGACCCTCTGCACACATCGCCAACATTCACCGTCAAAGCATTGTTACCTATCGCTCCACAAAGCAAGGGAAAAATGTATTTCAAGGTCTCGGAATGAGTGACGTCACCAATTTGAAATGCTACTAGCGTGCACCGCTAACTAGCTAGCCATTTCATACCGGTTACACTCACCCCCCTTTGACCTTCTCCGCAGCAACCCCAACTGAGTGGTCTGGGTCACTGCACCAATTTAACAGTGTTGAATCCGTCCCTCTAGCCCCAACCTGGGCTTGAACTAGGGAACCTCTGCACACATCGAAAACAGTCAACCTTAGAAGCATCGTTAGCGATAGGTAACGATGCAGAGCACATCACCGATTGAAATGCTACTAGCGCGCACCGCTAACTGGCTAGCCATTTCACACCATTTGTTTAGGGCTGGAATGAAAGCCTTCATACCCAGTAAGATGGGGCGTGCTCGTTTTGCACAGCTGTGGGACGCAGGAATACGTAAGTGGCGAAAGCGGAGTATTGTAGAGCTGGGAGCGGTGATAGTCTTCAGTAACTATAAACCGACAGATGATTTAAAAATATCAAACAGATAAAAACAGCAACAATCGTTTCTCTATGCTGAATCTGAACATGCAGTGTCTGTTGGTAGGCCTACTCCTAGCATGAGACTACAGCATTGGTGCCACCTCTGGATAAGAATGCAATGGGTGCATTTTATCAAATGCCAATGCCTCCCATCTCTCATCACATGACGTGTAGCCCACATTTCTTTATGACTAAAGCTGGAATTCAATCATTGCAGATAAAATTGTTCTATGTTGTAATTTACAGATGTAGAGAACATGAATCACTCCATGATTTTAGGTATGCTTATTTCACCAAGTGAGCCTCCCTGCAGACTCTTACATTATCCTCTGACTTCTCCAGGCCCTGGCTTTATTTTATTTCACCGGACTTCTTGTGTCCGGTATGTGATTTCCCCTGACCTCCTCATGCCTGGGATTGCTGGCTGCCTGGGGGATGTGCCTGCCGCAAACAAGTTTCAGGCGTGCGTCCAAGACTTGTCGCCTGCAATTGGAACCCAAGCCTCCCTGTCACTCTTGTTTTATAATTGTAACATTATCATCTTCTCACAGCCGCCCTATTTCCAAAACAGTGCATGGTTGGTAGTCAGTCGGTGGTGGGGGGTCTGATCTGGAGTGGCCATGTAATTTGATCTTTCTGGAGACAACTGTAAATCCATGATTTGCCAGTTTTCTCCATGTGCTCTTTAGGAATTTATTTATCACAGTTTTATCATTCATGTTTTTCTTCTTTCTCAAAGGGTAGGGTACTAACGACGGCATGCCATCGCTCACATAACTACTGTAATCGGAGTGTGTGATAGTGACTTTATCCAATTACTCTTGCTGGATGAGTGTTGGTGTTTTTTATTATAAAGTTGCCATGCCTTTAAGATGTTCATATTGGGTTTCCATACCAGACAGTGATTTTCCTAATCTGCACATCATGCTAAAAACTGCCTCCCTGCTCAACACGCACCCCTTCCCAACACTGTCCTTGGGGTATGAGAGGCATATTGAACCAGAATCTGGTCAGGATTAGTAGTTTTTCAATATCAGACAATTGGAGACTAAAATACCTGCACATATACAGTCACTACCACCTGTCTCTTAATTTAAGAGCCTTGTTAAGGCATACAGATGGGACATATTCATGCAGTAGGAATAGCTAAATGGGACAAGGTGACCCTTAATGGACAAGGTGACCCTTTTTCTTTATAGTTAATTGAACTGGGCAGTAGTTATACAGACAGACAGTATACATTGTATTGTACTTGACTAGTGCAGCTTTAATCACATTTTGTCTGAATATAACATACAGGGCTGTAACAGCTCCCAGCTATTATGTAATTGCCCTGAAACCATCACTTCATCATCATAATAATAATAATAATAATAATAATAATAATAAGAGCGGTTATTGGATTGAAAGAAACTACCTGCGTGACTGGCAGGTAACCAAGCTAATGGAGCATTGAGTAAGATCTGTATCAAACTTTTTAAAGGGATTTACTTTTTATCAACTCCACTAGGATGCAATGTGTTCAGAAGTTTCCTCACAGGTTGCATTTGCTACATGTTCTGAGTCTGACTGCAGCCCATGTCTCTCTTTGCACACACATTTCTGTGCACTATTGTTGGTGCAAATCATGGTGACAAAATTAGGCCATAGCAGTTTGTGTTCCCACAAGGCCATGTGAAACCCCAGTCATTCCCCATGGAGTTGTCTGTCTTCAGTCTAGCGTCACTGGGTTAGCAACTTCTTCAATCTTAGCAGTTGCACCCCCCACAATGCTTATTGCCTGATTTGGGCAATTGATAACTTATCAATAATACCCAGATGATTCTCAAAATTACTGTTGACCTATGTAAGGAGCACCTGTACTTCATGAATGGTCTCTTCATAGGATTACCTTTGTAGCAACCCGCCAGAAGTGGTAGTCTACACTCAGCAATTGAGGCATACTGTACATATTTGAAAGTGAGAATGTCTCACTATTCATTGTTGAAATAAGTCACTTGAGCGACTGGGGGAAGGGAAGTAATTGTATAGAGCCCCACAGTGGAGGTGTCATAAAACCTAGCAGTCAAACAGTTAAATCCACTTCAATCAGTGTAGATGAAGGAGACTGGTTAAAGAAGGATTTGTAAGCCTTGAGACAATTGAGACATGGATTGTATATGTGTGCCATTCAGAGGGTGAATGGGCAAGACAAAAGATTTAAGTGCCTTTGAATGGGGTATGGTAATAGGTGCCAGTACACCGGTTTTGAGTGCGTCAAGAACTGCAACTGAAATTGAGGGGTTGGGGCACGACCTGAACTGGGATACCGTTTGGGAAAATGTATTTGTTACCTAAAAACCCAGCACACCAGTTTATACATTAAAAGCTTATACATAGAAGTTATGCAACCCCATTTAGACGTTTTAAGATGAAGCGGATTCCTACTCCAATCTGTGATAGATGCTGTTGGAACACTAATGCATATGTTTTGGGAATGTCCTGTGGTGTCAAATTTGTCAGATTTCCTCACAAAAATGATGGGTTTCCCTGTGAACAAAGATCCACCTTTTTATTCGATTACTCTTCATTTGTACTGCAACTGGTTCAGAAAATACTAATTTATGCGGGGTTAACAGCAGCAAAAAAGGTTATCCTTAGAGCTTGGATTACCCCTACAATCCTCTTGCCTCAAACATGGTTATCATATTTTCAAGATATTGTTCGTATAGAGCGATCGGTTGCCGTGATAAACAATAAACAAAGCTCGGGCAAATACAGTTGATGCATGGGATGTATTATGTAAAGCTCTTATCAGATATTAACAACTCTTGACCAAGCAATGGACCTACATGGTAAGGGAGAGGTGGGTGACAACATTTTATTTTCTGAGAACGTAGAATATTTTTTCTTGTAAACTTCCTTCATGTAAATCTCATTTTGTGTACTCAAATAATTGACTCCTGACAGTATGTAAATAGTTTTGTATGTTTGTTTGTACAAAAGATTGTTAGTGTTGTCATGGCGGTTAATATTTGTAACATGATCCTGCACTGTGTATTGTAAAATTTTGATAAAATGCTCAACAGTTTCCCATGTGTATCAGTCAAAGGACATCCAGCCAACTTGACACAACTGTGGGGAGCATTGGAGTCAACATGGGCCAGCATCCCTGTGGAACGCTTTCCACACCTTGTACAGTCCATGCTCCGAGTTAAGGCTGTTCTGAGGGCAGCTCAAAATTAGGCAGGTGTTCCTAATGTTTTGTACACTCAGTGTATAACATTCATAGATGCAAAAAACATAATTAGGTTGTAATATTTGTTCTGGCTGCTCAATCATAGCTGACATATTTCTGTGATATTTACACATCACTGACAAAGCATAATCATCACTATCTGCAATTGGTAGTTCTCAACAAGATCAGGGACCCTTCTCACATTTCCCTATGATTGTAACACGTTTACTGCAGTGGATTAATTGTGGCTATGCTATAACACAATGATAATAAGAGTAAAATCTTGAACATGAATCTTAAAAATACCATCTAGCTAAGGCATAATGTACAAACAAAGTAAGATGATGCAGTCATAAGGCCTGTGAAATGTAATGACTGATACTATTTTGAAAGTGCACTAACGCTTGTTCATCAGAATCTAATGGAGAGACTCAGTTAACTAATGGCGCGGTCTGCTTTTGGTCCATGGCCTGTCTGTTTTTTACTGCAGAATAAATCATTAGTGCACACTCAAAGCCATACGTCTGAAATACTGCACTAAAACACAAAACTATTATTGAAATGAAAAACAAGTCCATTATTATCCTTTTAGCACAATACTATGACCATTGCTAATGAACAAGAGGTCCATTTTTTCCTCAAATATGATAGTGCTTGAATAGCTTCATAGCTTTTAAGACATAGTATTATTCAGCACTTTCATGTCAGAAAGTCTTTGGGAGCCTAGTTTCCTTCGTTTGTCCCTACTCAAACAGGGAGATCGCTTCATCATTTCTTGTTGCTTTAGCACACTCTGTATATAGTATTTTCTCGCTCTCAGAAAGGCAGAGTGTCCATGAAAATTTTGTCCACTATGGGGGGTGGTGGAACCAAGTCCTCAAGCTTGAGATAGAAGATGCGCTGCAGGCCCTGGGTGCAGAGAGTCCGTAGCTCGGGCAGTTTTCCCAGGAGGCGGGACAGGTAGTTGGGCCGAGTGGAGTCGGAGGTGCAACTCGAGACGTGATCTCTGAGACAGATGATGAGCTGGTTCTGGAACTCCTCCACCCGTTTGGGCTCCTTCAGGCCGTGGCGGTCTATGGGGAATCAGGAGACAGAAAAGGCATGAGTGTGACTAAATAAAGCAGAGAGAGCATCAAAAATAGGACATTTATCATTATTCTGTAACACAATAACATTATGTAGGCCTGTGTATCAAGATTTATGTATATCCAGCTTGTTCAGGCAGCTCAGGTCAGGGTGAGCATAAAGATTGATTGCAGGCTCTATGTTGCAATGTCATACTGTACTGGATTATGGTGTGATGTCTCTGTTAACAGAGCCAGACAGGCTGGTGTGTATGTGTAGGTGGGTTGAGCTCTCACCAGTGATTATGACCAGGGTTGTAAGGCAGGAGAAGGAAGACACGTCCAGGTTCATGCGGTGGAGGCTCTGGGAGAAGTCCATGATGGAGTCTATCCAGTCACCGAAGCCCCGTACACACTGCATCCGGTGAAGCACCACTCCGTTGCAGAAGATCAGCTTGTGTGTCTCAGGGTTGGTCCTTGGAAAGATATTATAAATAGGATGATTAACAATATTTTTTGTTAACCCATGATTGTTGCTGCTAAAATATCTGCACAGTGTGTTGTGGGTGCAATCAATCCAGTCATATTCATATTGTATGTACTGAATAATCGTAGCAGTACAGTGACCAATGTCAATACAACACAGCTATGGCTCTTTATATGCAAGGTGGTCTTCTGGAGCATTTACATTTTTTACAATGACGCCATTTGGTTCTTCTTACCTGTATGCTAGTCGCAAGATGAACAGTTCCACGAAGGCTGACTCCAGTAGCAGCTCCTGGTCCTCGGAGCAGAAGGCGGTGAACCCAGGGATGCTCTCAGCCCACTTGCTAATCACGTCCATGGACGCCGTGAGGAGGTTCGTAGAACTGTTTGACGTCACCAACTTCCGCTTTCTCTGACAGACTGGCCACAGTCTCCTGATACTGAATTAGAAAGGAAGGAGAAAAGTAAGTTCCATTAGGGGAATGCCCTGCATTCTCTTTGTTCAGTTTATGCTCTATCCTTAGAAAGAGTACCAACAGCGACCTTAAACCCCAAAAAACAATAAGTCCTAATAGACAGACCACAATGGAGAATTTGCAGTAGTCCTTACCTTAGAGTAGTCCAGTTTCCCAACACTGGGGTTTGATTCAATGTGTGCCCTCACAAGAGAGGCAATGATATTGACTGGAGACCGAGCGGACGATCGGTCCTGGGCTTCTTTTGGCTTGGAGGGCAGACGACCTCTTCGACCTTTTAAGCTATCTGTTCTCACAACTTCAAGAGAGAGAAATGGATACAAGGTCAATAATGTCTTAGCAACTGAGAACTGAGAGAGAAACAGTAGTTATGGTGAGAGATGTGGTAGTAAAATGGATCTGAAGTGCTGGGCTCACCTTCTTTCACCATGCCTACTGTCAGGCACTTCTGAAAACGACAGAATTGACAGCGATTCCGTCGCCGCTTGTCCACTGGACAGTCCTTGTTGGCAAGGCACACGTATTTGGCTTTCTTCTGTACAGTACGCTGCAAAAAACACAGAAAAAAACACTTAGCTATGTAAGTTCAGGCTAGCAATGGAGATGCATATACACTGCTCAAAAAAATAAAGGGAACACTTAAACAACACAATGTAACTACACGTCAATCACACTTCTGTGAAATCAAACTGTCCACTTAGGAAGCAACACTGATTGACAATACATTTCACATGCTGTTGTGCAAATGGAATAGACAACAGGTGGAAATTATAAGCAATTAGCAAGACACCCCCAATAAAGGACTGGTTTTGCAGGTGGTGACCACAGACCACTTCTCAGTTCCTATGCTTCCTGGCTGATGTTTTGGTCACTTTTGAATGCTGGCGGTGCTTTCACTCTAGTGGTAGCATGAGACGGAGTCTACAACCCACACAAGTGGCTCAGGTAGTGCAGCTCATCCAGGAGGGCACATCAATGCGAGCTGTGGCAAGAAGGTTTGCTGTGTCTGTCAGCGTAGTGTCCAGAGCATGGAGGCGCTACCAGGAGACAGGCCAGTACATCAGGAGACGTGGAGGAGGCCGTAGGAGGGCAACAACCCAGCAGCAGGACCGCTACCTCCGCCTTTGTGCAAGGAGGAGAAGGAAGAGCACTGCCAGAGCCCTGCAAAATGACCTCCAGCAGGCCACAAATGTGCATGTGTCAGCTCAAACAGTCAGAAACAGACTCCATGAGGGTGGTATGAGGGCCCGACGTCCACAGGTGGGGGTTGTGCTTACAGCCCAACACCGTGCAGGACGTTTGGCATTTGCCAGAGAACACCAAGATTGGCAAATTCGCCACTGGCGCCCTGTGCTCTTCACAGATGAAAGCAGGTTCACACTGAGCACATGTGACAGACGTGACAGAGTCTGGAGACGCCGTGGAGAACGTTCTGCTGCCTGCAACATCCTCCAGCATGACCGGTTTGGCGGTGGGTCAGTCATGGTGTGGGGTGGCATTTCTTTGGGGGGCCGCACAGCCCTCCATGTGCTCGCCAGAGGTAGCCTGACTGCCATTAGGTACCGAGATGAGATCCTCAGACCCCTTGTGAAACCATATGCTGGTGCGGTTGGCCTTGGGTTCCTCCTAATGCAAGACAATGCTAGACCTCATGTGGCTGGAGTGTGTCAGCAGTTCCTGCAAGAGGAAGGCATTGATGCTATGGACTGGCCCGCCCGTTCCGCAGACCTGAATCCAATTGAGCACATCTGGGACATCATGTCTCGCTCCATCCACCAACGCCACGTTGCACCACAGACTGTCCAGGAGTTGGCGGATGCTTTAGTCCAGGTCTGGGAGGAAATCCCTCAGGAGACCATCCGCCACCTCATCAGGAGCATGCCCAGGCGTTGTAGGGAGGTCATACAGGCACGTGGAGGCCACACACACTACTGAGGACATTACATCAAAGTTGGATCAGCCTGTAGTGTGGTTTTCCACTTTCATTTTGATGGTGACTCCAAATCCAGACCTCCATGGGTTGATACATTTGATTTCCATTGATAATTTGTGTGTGATTTTGTTGTCAGCACATTCAACTATGTAAAGAAAAAAGTATTTAATAAGATTATTTCATTCATTCAGATCTAGGATGTGTTATTTTAGTGTTCCCTTTATTTTTTTGAGCAGTGTATGAATTGTGTTTACATTGCATGAAAAATGCATTTACACCAATTTATGAAATAAATTGACTGAAGAGAGGAAAAAGCTGCTCACCTTGAAAAAACCTTTGCAGCCCTCACAGGTACGAACCCCATAGTGCTGACAGGAGGCGTTGTCCCCACAGACGGCACAGCGACCCTCGTTTCCAGTAGGGCTGTTCGGTTTCAGCGACATGCTACCTTCCATGAAGCCAGAGTCATCTAGGGTGCCTGGCTCCAGGGTTAGAGGGGAGAAGGAAAGGGGGGAGGGGTGCTGCTCCAGGCCAAGAGAGAAGTGGTCTTGCTCAGCCAGCTGGGGCTGTGGCTGACCCAGAGGAGACAGATCCTCCACTGAGCCGGGGCCGTAGGTGAAGAAAGAGGATGTCTGTGATAATGCAGTCTTATCAGCCACCCAGCAGCCCGGGCTGGGAGAGTAGGGGCAGGAGGCCGAGGCCCAATCCGATGAAGGCTGGAAGCCTGGGGTAGAGGGAGACTGGGCCGACGCAGGGCTGCCTAAATATTCAGAGCCACCAGAAGACAGGGCTTCATCAAAGTAGCTCAGTGCAAAGGTGCCAGGGTAGCAGCTGTAAATCTGGAAGTCATCCAGCTTGAAGGGCGACTCATGGACAGAAGCGGGGCTAGTGGTTGTAGGTGCTGTGGCGATCTGACAGAAGTAGGCATCGAACTCGCCAGTGTAGGTGCCCACCAGGGGGTTAATGTTAGGCAGGGAGTCGGCGGAGATCTGGTCCGTCTGGATACTCACTTCCATGGCTAACCTGCAGGTAAGGTCCAGGCTCAGAGACTGAGTTTTAGAGGCTGTTATCATAAGGCTGAGCTCCATGCGGGGGCCGGTGTGAGCTGACTGTAAGAGATACTAGAATCTTCTAGAATCTACAGTCATGAATTTGTAGTGGACATCCTGTACCCCTTGGTTGCCAATCCCTGCATAGGTTATGGAGGACTGTCAAATCGGTCTCATCTAAAGGCATGAAATGAATTTACTTCAGGTGCCAGATTCCCCCTCCCGTGCAGGACAAGCCACATAACTTTCATAACTGTGCCCTTCCTACTAACGTGTAGTAGGTAATCCTTACCTCCTTGACCCCGCCGGTAGATTCTGAGAAATCTCCATTACCAGGGGTGTGATCTTTAGCCATCATTAACGTTCCGTTTTGCAACTAAAACAATAGTTTCTATTAGACAAATACAGGTAGGTCCCTCCCTGTTTCGTTCCATTTGCTTCTATTTTAAGAAATGTTTTGCAACAGAATCAGCATCATGAACACGCCCCTGGAAATCCTTGAAGTTTTAAAACACACCGAATGTCTGAGGGGGTTGGCTTTCAGATCATGGACTCAGGCCATGAAGGAAGAGGAGTGTAGATCCCCCACTGAAGGTAAAAGACTGATTTGAATGTCTGTCAGCACAACTAAAGTCAGGGAGACTCTTAAAGATGCACTATGCAGAAATCGCTCCGCCATTTCCTGATTGCTAAAATTCTAACAGTTTTGCTTAATTTTAGTTTATGTGACAAAACAAGCAACTATAGTGTAGAGAATCATTGTACCATCTAAACCGCTGTCAAATATATTTGACATGACCCAAAATATTGTATTTCATCTGTTTGAAGCTGGTGTACAAAACCGAAAGTAAAAGACACAACAAATCTTAACGGGAAGCATAGAAATAGCGCACATAGAACAGATCTACTGCTTCTTAGACTTGTTTTCAGTGAAGAGTGACAGATCTATAACACACATTTTTATGTGAATTTGGTCAGGTCCCCAAACAGTTACATATTGCAACTTTAAGTCTTTGTCCATGTAGCCACACTAGTATGTTTCTGTCTGACTAGTACATTGGTTTAAAAAATAGTGTAGCTGGCAGTGCATTAGATTACGACACAGAAGATGAACATCAGAGGAACTATGTGGAAGCACCTGTAGTACCTCCTACCTGTATCAACAGGTAAGCCACTGCATGCTGACAGGTGCATGTAGCATGCTTATAACTAAATAACAGTATACACTATGATGATTTGTTGTTTTGACTTCTCTTGCAGCAATTTACTGTCAAATATACAGTATTTTCCTCCTAACTTTTAATTGCCCTCCCAATCACCTGTGGATGGCATGTCTCTCCAGTTCTAAGGTATTTTGCATGTATGCCTTTTTAAATGTATGCATCTCAGGATAACATGGTTTTAATGTCAATCCTAAAGTAAATAGCAAGGGAAATTCATTTCAGTAGCGTAATTACATTAACTTACAGAATGCACTGTAATAAGGGGTGACAGGTAGCCTAGTGGTTGAGCGTTGGTTCGAATCCCCAAGCCGACTATGTCAAAAATCCATCAATGTGCCCTTGAGCAAGACACTTAAACCTAATTGCTCCTGTAAGTCATTCGGGATAAGCACTTCTGCTAAATGTAGTAAATGTAATATCATACTGACCGCAATACCTGAAAGGTGAGTGGTTCCTTACCTGTTATAACCCACTAGTATTTTAAGCAATGTTTGTATTCCAAGTGGTAGGTCGTCATCTCCAGTAGTTATTTTGCTCTGCAGTCCAAATGTTGTTGAGGGGAACATATCTTTATACGATAAATTGTATCTTACCATTACGTCAGAGGGACGCCCCGTTCCATTTCCCGTACAAGGCAACGCCGAGGCGGGTATCTTTCCAGGCTGAAGCCAATCAGCTCGCGTTCAGTCAGACGTCCTTGCAAGTGAAGCACTTGGTGGGATTCCATTGAAGCAAGCGTCCACAAATCCACAGAAGTTGCTTACTACAAACACAGCGAGAGACAGAAGTTTGTTAAATATTTAAAAAACTATGTAATAGAACTTAACGCAAAACAGGCTACTTTCGATTACACAAAACAACTTTCAGTCGCTCATTGGGCAGTTATCACATGCATAATAAATTGGCACGCTCTCTCCATTTAAAACGCTCACTAAACAAACTTTTCCCAATTTAAATTAAGTTGTTGACAATGGCCACTTTTTACCCAGTGATGTTTTTTGCAATCAAAGATGCTAGATATGACAAACAACCTTCATCACACCTGCTTACCAGGGTTTTATTATGTTTCATATGTTTTTGTCATGTCAGTATTTCCTTTCCCTTTCTTATTTCATTTTCTACAGTGACTATATTTTTGGACATAGCTGATAAAGGTTAATTATATTGTCTATATTACTGTCATTCATATGTCACGTACCAAAGTAGCCTACATGTGCAGGAGATGCAGTCGAAGAGGGTGAGCTAAAACTTGTAATAAAGAAGCTCCTCAAAGCTTGACGTTGAACGTCCATTACACAGCAGCACTGTGTACCTCCATGCAGGCAGATGTTCTGGACATTAGTTTCAGTGTCAGTCAGGGGCCTAGTATCAGACATACTGTAGTCTCAGTGACTGTCTCAAATCACACAATCCAGGCAGGATGTTATCTCCTTTCCACACCTGTAGTTTGTACAGTTTAACTGCTTGCCAGCATCCTGCACTTGTGTTTGTTGCCTGTGAATGTTTGTTGCCTTTGAATATTCATCAGTAAATGAGCTGAGTGAAATGAAGGAAGTGGGACACACACACACAAGTCTACGAGTTGCTTACTCCAATTGGCATTAAGCCAGCAAAACCGCACACATTTAGCCTGACGGGCTGAAGACCTGGTGTCTAGCCAAGGCGGCAAATTGCAGCTTCATTATTTAAAGACTGACAAGCCTAATTATGTAATAAACTTTGAAACGTACAGATAACCAATGGCAATTTATGTAATGGTAGGGGTAGCTGGTGGGCTATCTAAAACCCTGTCCCATGCAAGCTATTCCTGTCTGAATGTCAAGGTCATTGCCCTCTGAAGGGAGCCAGGCTCTGTCCCATTGAGGAGACCCCTGCTTCCTGCATGTGATGAAAGCACCAGGCTTTATTCTAATTAGGCCTTACTGTATTCTGATTCTTCCTCTGTACTTCAATGTGCCAAGAGAGAAACAAAACTATGAGGGTAGTGTCTCCAGTGATGTAGGCTATACTTGGGATATGGTGACATCTGTGGAATCCCTGTTTGTGATATTAACTTGGATCTGGGAGGGTCAAGGAATGAGAGAAGTGCCTTCTTGTCAAATGACTCCCTGGGTGTATTAATTAGTTGGATTCCGTTGTAAAACGCTTGGTCTCTTGCAAAACGTTTTGCAACGGAAACTGTTCACTCCAAATGGAAAATGTTTTTCTATTGGACAAATTTAGGTAGGTCCCTCCCCGTTTCGTTCTGTTTGCTTCAATTTAGTTCCTAGAGTAAACGCTAAACGTTTACTATAGGAACCACTAACACACACATACAAACAGATTGCACCATGGTAAGTAAATAGGTCTATTATGCAAAATTGTGTAACTGCAAATAGCAAGTTGCTGTCACACAATTTTGCATAATAGGCCTATTTACTTACCACGGTGGAATCTGTTTGTATGTGTGTGTTAGTGACAATATATTTTCACTGTACCTGCCTATGGAATTACTGTGTAAACACGTAGATTTAGCGACGCTTAACTTTTCAAATGATGTAAACACACAAGCTTGTTGCACACGCAAACGCATCATGCAAGCACACACACACACATCACATGGGGCAGAAGCTCCACCAGACCATCACCTGTCACTCTGTGAGTGATTTATTAGTGCTGAGCAGCTGTTTGTCTCTGCAGAGTAACTTTTAATACAGCCACACCGATCTACATGTGGTTTGTAATCATAATTTAAATTATTCCGATTTTACATTATTATGGGAGGGTATAGATTTCTGAGTGGGTTTGAGTTGTTTATTGTCATGGACGATATAGCACTGGAGCAAAACATAGAACATTATTTAACTTTTTTTTTTAAAACATTTTTAGTCATTTAGCAGACGCTCTTATCCAGAGCGACTTACAGTTAGTGAAACCCTTTTTTTAATCATTTATTTTTATACTGGCCCCCCCTGGGAATCGAACCCACAACCCTGGCGTTGCAAACGCCATGCTCTATCAACTGAGCTACATCCCTGCCGGCCATTCCCTCCCCTACCCTGGACGACGCTGGGCCAATTGTGCGCCGCCCATGAGTCTCCCGGTCGCGGCCGGCTGCGACAGAGCCTGGATACGAACCAGGATCTCTAGTGGCACAGTTAGCACTGCGATGCAGTGCCTTAGACCACTGCGCCACTCAGGAGCTTATTATTGAAGCCTAAGTGTGTGTGTGTGAATGTGTTTGGCTCAGTGTCAGAGCCACCAGGGAAAGTACAGCAGTCGTCATCATCATAAACCATCTGAGGAGGCCTACCATCTGATCTGAGTACATCCCTCTTATGGACGTAACTAATTCATCTTGGGCCCTCTGGCCCAATTTGTGGTATTTGACCATCAGTACTGTATATCACCTCACCGTCAAAAGTGCTGACGGATAGAATGAAATGGTATCTTGCTTCTTTAATGTAAGTCTATGTATAACCTTGCTCACGTCAATGGTCTTATGGCATCTGTTAAATGAATATGAACACAGCAAAGATCACGTTCAGGTACAGGAATATCTTACTTCCAAGTTGTCATTCACATGACATGAATAAATGTGACCACATTTCGTAATGGGAGACATGAGCTGTTAAGAGTGTTTTCTAGAGCTCCTGCAGTCCTCCAGCAGGCTTAACTCACCACTGTCCTTATCAGATTCCACTCAGGGATCTTAAAATAATATATTCTGTCTAAATTAAAAAATGCCTCGTATTTACACTGAACAAAAATATAAAACGCAACATGCTACAATTTCAAAGATTTTACATAAGGAATTCAGTCAATTGAAATAAATGCATTTGGCCCTAATCTATGTATTTCACATGACTGGGAATACAGATATGCATTCAACCGGGATTCATCCGTGAAGAGCACACTTCTCCAGCGTGCCAGTGGCCATCAAAGGTGAGCATTTGCCAACTGATGTCGGTTACAACGCCGAACTGCAGTCAGGTCAAGACCCTGATGAGGATAATGAGCACACAGATGAGCTTCCCTGAGACGGTATCTGACAGTTTGTGCAGAAATTTTTCGGTTGTGCAAACCAACAGTTTCATCAGCTGTCCAGGTGGCTGGTCTCAGACGATCCCGCAGCTGAAGAAGCCGGATGTGGAGGTCCTGGGCTGGCGTGGTTACACGTGGTCTGCGGTTGTGAGGCCGGTTGGACATACTGCCAAATTCTCTAAAACGACGTTGGAGGCAGTTTATGGTAGAGATATGTCCCCAGCACAAGGTGCACCTGTGTAATAATAATAATGCTGTTTAATCAACTTCTTGATATGCCACACCTGTCAGGTGGATGGATTATCTTGGCAAAGGAGAAATGCTTACTAACAGGGATATAAACACATTTGTGCACAAAATTTGAGAGAAATCAGCTTTTTGTGTGAATGGAAAATGTCAGGGATTATTTTATTTCCGTGCATGAAACATGGGGCCAACGCTTTACATGTTTCGATTATATTTTTGTTGGGTGTATTATACACAGATCTAGTCAGCCCTACAGTCAGAGTTAGAATTCTCAATTACCTATCTGGAGGTAAAGAGATATTATTGTAGGCCTACAATACACATTTTTAAATCAGATATCATGCAGATGCTGTTTTTATAATACTGATGTATATGCCAAGGCAGATTATTTGATGTACCCTTCATAGTTCAGTTTCTCAAATGTGTAAATTGTGTAATCTGTTTACAAAAGCAACAGACAGCGTTGAGTTTGATGTTTTTGGGGTGGATTAAATCAAGCAGCCATTATGAGCCATGTAGCTCGAGTTGCATCGCAAAGTGTCTGCATGCTGCTAATAGTTGACACTGACAGTATCTTTCACAGTTTGCCCTTGTGTTGCCGTGGGAATATCCCATAAACACCAGAGCACCTGATGTGTTAAATTGTAGGCCGAGAGAGTTGACATCCAACACAGCGAATTGTGCGAATCTGTTAAATCGAATCACTCCAATGAGGACCATGACTGATGTTACCCAATCATAGGTGCTAGTGCTGGCCAGCCAATCTCCTCTGACACTTCACAGGTTTATTCTCATTCAAGATGCAACAAAAACCTCTCCATGTTCTTCAATTTTGTCAAGCAAATGACTGATGCAATAGTGATATCATTGGCCCTCCTGTAGCTCAGTTGGTAGAGCATGGCGCTTGCAAGGGTTGTGGGTTCGATTACCACGGGGGGCCAGTATGAAAATGTCAATTGGATCACTAAAAATATGAAAATGCCACAAAGGGCGAACGGTTTGCTGATATCCGGCTTCTTCACCTGCGCTGCGGGATCGTCTTAAACCAGCCACCCGGACAGCTGATGAAACTGTGGGTTTGCACAACTGAAGAATTTCTGCACAAACTGTCAGAAACCGTCTCAGGAAAGCTCATCTGTGTGCTCATCATCCTTACCAGGGTCTTGATCTGACTTCAGTTTGGCGTCGTAACCGACTTCAATGGGCAAATGCTCACCTTCTATGGCCACTGGCACGCTGGAGAAGTGTGCTCTTCACGGATTAATCCCGGTTTCAACTGTATGGGACAGATGGCAGACAGTGTGTATGGCGTCGTGTGGGCGAATAG